AGAAGCCCTTTCAAATAAAACGCTTCAATGGTAAATTAGCACCGTAAAATGCTCTAAAATTCGTATGAACTGTGTTCGGTGAACAAAAAATGAAAGCTCTCATGGCCATACTCGATTTACACTACCACCCAAATTACTCTCGAACATCTTCGCTCCTCACAGAAATACTGAAAAGGCGCCATAACTTGTCTTCTGACTGATAAACTGTACAATTAACAGAAAAAAAAACTAGTCTAAAGTACGACGCCGAGCTAACAAATCAGTGCGATCCAGCAAATCAATGCTATCTCTTTCATGCTCTCTTCGGATATGTGCCAGCAGATATTCGCGATCCTGAAACTGCCCCATGCAAAGTTTGCATACCTCTGTTTTTGCCCTGAAAAAAAAGGCTTCTTTTACAGAAATATCCAAAAAAATCCTGAAAAAGCCCGAAAAAAGTGCTAAAAATGAGTCAGAAAAATGCCTTCTTGCTTTCAAGCATAGCAAAATAAAACCGGTTCTCCCGAACAAAACTTCGATAGTAAAACTTGCGTCAATAAGCAGCCTCCCAATGTTGAATTATCAAATTCGCAAATTACCACAGCTTGTAAAGAATTTTTGTTCTCAGAGACCAATACAGTCAAAAAGAGACGAGAAATAACTCACGTAAATTGCGGGAAATTGTCACTGTTGAGCGCGGTTGTGTCCAAATCTCGCGTCAGCTGTGAAAGTGAGAAAAACTGCAAAAAGTAAAAAAATATTAGAATTATCATTAAAAAGTATTAGAATTATAACTAAATTATACCATTTTCGATGAAATTATGGCCATCAGAGTACGATTTTTTCGTTTGAAATGACTTCGTAAAGTGAACTAATTGCCAAATTTTACATTCTTTTTCCAGTCCTTCTTTGGTATCCCTGGTAAGTCATTTCTTCCCACCTTCTTTTTATAATTTTGTGCAGATCTCCCCCGCCCCCCACTCGCGCCACACCCCTATTAAGTATTGTTCTTCTTGTGGCAAGTTGAAATGACGAACTG